ACTAAACTATTATTTATTCTTTAGAATTTGCTCTATTTAAGTTATTGATAGTTGTTTTATGCAGATATGAATACTTGTTACATATAAAACTTATCAAAATAAATTGAAAAAAATGGAGCAAATCCAAGTGAGCAAGTAAAACAATTTTCGTGAAAAAGTAAAAATAACGACTTTTGAATTTTTGCAAACAATATTAAACAACAAATTTGTTAGGTGTGTCTGTTAATAAATGCACGAAAAATGTTAGAAAAAATTGTATGGACTATTTTTATTATTATTGAACTTAGTGCAGTAAACGGAGAGGAAAAAAGGGTATAACCTCTGAATTTTTTTACTGTGCTCCGAATTGAATGAAATTTTGGAATTAAGTTCATCTTACCCTCAAGTTCAAAAGTGAAAACAATTCGGGTTGCGCCATCACCCCCGGGGGGGTGACACCCCTTCTAAATTGTGTAATTACATTTTTTCAAAATAACGTCGGAAATCGATAGAAGAACTAATTATAAGAAAAAAATGTCTCATATAGTTTTTCAAAAAAACTAATACTTTTCAAGTTACTGGCCACTGAAGATTCATATATTTTTGGCGTTTTTCTTCGTTTTTTTGCAAATATCTCCTAAAATATACATTTTAACGAAAATCATGTAATGAACAAAATAATGTCAATAAAAATCTTAATAAATCGGTATTACATAAAGTGTTCTAGGAAAAATATTAAGCAAGATTTAAAAGAGCAAAGTCGTTTTTTATTTTGTTCAAGATTTAATTGTTGTATTTAAAGCCATCTAGTGTCGAGGTTTTACATTTTATGCATTTCGGTGAAATTGGGTTTTATAGTACTCAACATAAGCTTTAAAATGATATGTTACAAGTTTTTTGCGTGTAAAATGAGTGAGCTATCATGCAAATAAGAAGCATATACGAAGTTTTTTTCTTTTAAATCATATGGTTTAATGAACGCCATTTCCACCAGAATTGAAGTAATTAACATTCCATCTAGAATTGACTTCATTTATAGAATCATCTTGATGGATTCTAGCAGATTCACTACTTTAGTACAAACTATTTTCAAAAAACTCACAATTTTATAAAAACTTTTTTTCCAATTTTTTAAAAATTGAACTTATTTTCATTATATCTCAAAAAGAATAAAAGATACGTATAAAAGCATATAGATAAAAATCAAAGAAATCTTTCTGGCTTATTATTGTTTTTTATTATTTTTCTTTCACACAAAAATTGACAGAGTTATGAATGTTTAAAGACTGCGCGGCCGCGCAAATTGGAAAAAAAAGTTTTTATAAAATCGTGAGTTTTCTGAAAATAGTTGTACTAAAGTAGTGAATCTGCTAGAATCCATCAAGATGTCTATAATGAAGTCAATTCTAGATGGAATGTTAATTACTTCAATTCTGGTGGAAATGGCGTTCATTAAACCATATGATTTAAAAGAAAAAAACTTCGTATATGTTTCTTATTTGCACGATAGCTCACTCATTTTACACGCAAAAAACTTGATAAAGCACTCATTTTAAAGCTTATGTTGAGTACTATAAAACCCAATTTCACCGAAATGCATAAAATGTAAAACCTCGAAACTAGATGGCTTTAAATACAACAATTAAATCTTGAACAAAATAAAAAACGACTTTGCTCTTTCAAATCTTGCTTAATATTTTTCCTAGAACACTTTATGTAATACTGATTTATTAAGATTTTATTGACATTATTTGTTCATTACATGATTTTCGTTAAAATGTATATTTTAGGAGATATTTGCAAAAAAACGAAGAAAAACGCCAAAAATATATGAATCTTCAGTGACCAGTAACTTGAAAAGTATTGTTTTTTTGAAAAACTATATAAGACATTTTTTTCTTATAATTAGTTCTTCTATCGATTTCCGACGTTATTTTGAAAAAATGTAATTACACAATTTAGAAGGGGTGTCACCCCCCCGGGGGGTGATGGCACAACCCGAATTGTTTTCACTTTTGAACTTGAGGGTAAGATGAACCTAATTCCAAAATTTCATTCAATTCGGAGCACAGTAAAAAAATTCAGACCTAAAACGCTCCGTTTACTGCACTAACTACCGTGCAATAGCATTATTACAATTACTTCAATAAATCATCCATTTGATTACTCTATATATCCATACAAGTTGTAAAACTAGTATGTGAGTTATATATAGAGCGATAATTAGATGTTAGATTATTTTCTCAAATTTAACTGTAGATAATAATATAAGTCGATATCTGAGAAGCATTAAAGTAGTTCTGCAACAAATAAGTAATTTAATGAGTTCAGGTAGTGATGTAGGATTCAGTACTAAATCTTGAAATGGATATTGAACTTGAAATATATATTAACAATGCAGTATTTTATAGTAATTACATGACAAGTTAGAATTTTAATTGCTATTACTCATACTAATTAAAAAGTAATCGCAGCATGTTAGAAAAAATCGTATCTTCATAAAAAATCTGGGTGAAATTAAACTTCATTACGAATTGACTATTTATTATAAATTTAATCGAATATCCATAAGATTAGCATGAATTTTTATAAATTTATTTTGGACACTTTTTGTCAATTTGTCCCAATTTCACATTAGATCTACTTGTAGTGAAAAAACATTCTGCTTTTCTTAAAAATTTTTTATTAATTTGTTGTAATAAAACAATCATTAATTCATGTTGATCTCCTCACATTTTTTCAAATATACCTACACTCGATATTTAGCTTAAATTCAGCTCGTAGATTACGTTAATAATTTTTTAAAATTTATTATTGTTTTATTAACTTCAGTATTAAAAACTTTATTGTTGTTAAAATTATTGAGAGTACAATTCGACATATTTCGCATCTTAGCAAGAAAAAATTATAAAGGTTTCATCAGATCATCATAATCATGAATATTAAAATTTTAAATTATAATAAAGTAACAAAACTCCTTCACGTTCTAAATCCAAATCCAGTTCAAAAATATTCAATAAAAACGTCATATATGAAATCAATAATTTTATCAAAAGTCGACAAAACATCGATTCTTTCTTTTCAACATTTTCTCAACGAAATTAAGCAAATGTTACTAACTAACTTGGTTATCGTATGTCGTTTGTACGTATAAATAATTTTTTAAAATAAAAATTAATGAATGTTAAATTTATTTAAATTTTATTAATTTTCTTAAAAAGCAAAAAGCAAATATTAGAAGAGATTGCTAAAATTTTCATTTAGCACTTAGTTTTCGACAAAGTGCAAGTGATGTATCAAATAAAAATATTTAGATTTTGTACTGTGTTCCATGTGTCTATAAAGTTAAAAAAATGATATGTTTGTAAAGAGCTGTAAGAAAAATATTTTGGACGCTCAGTTTTTTTTTAATCTTGACTATTTGTGTATTATGTATGCATATCAAAACGTCTATAACAGATTTTGAGTATCGAAATCATTATTTCTTCTTGATAAGTTATTAAAAATATGTTTATATTCATGGAGCTTAGGCATTTATGGCTTTTTTCATAACAAATTGTAATATGGCAAATTGAAGATTAGAAGTCAATTATTTCAGAATTTGTAAAATAGAGTCATAGATACAACCATAGTAAACATTTTGATCTAGTATTGAAAACAATTTACTCGTTTGACATCAAAATGTAATAAAAATTATAAAATATACTGGATTTAGTGATGTCAGTAAAAATAACTTAAAATTAATTAATATGGAATCATAGACCTTACTAACACAGACTGCTAGTCCTCATATGTTTTCCATATTATAAAGTGTCAAAAGATTCAATGAGACTGTGACATCACTATGTGATCGAGCGTTGCCGACAATCGCGGAACACTCCCTATTGATTAAATGTCATATGTCACGTGTTTAATTTAAAAATAAATCTTTTATAGTATAAGATCTATATATGAAATGTACTTTAGCTATTAAAGCATGTTTTCAATAATTTCTAATAAACTACTTATTGTAGGCATTATGGCTTTTTTCATAGAAAATAGTATAGGCAAAACTTGGTGATTTGCGTAAATTGTTCCAAATTTATAGGGGTGAAGTAAAATTTAAATCAAAGTAAACATATTGAGATTATTCGTTTGATAGTAAAAATTCATCCAAAAATTTAAAATAAGTTAAGCATTCAATTTCTTTTACATATAATATCTCTCATCATTTTTTAAAGTGTCAAAGAAAGAAGGGAACTGTGACGTCACTATATAAACGAGCGTTGCTGATAATCGTGGAACACTCCCGATTGATTAAATGTCACATCTTAGATAATATATAATAATATTCTTGGTAATTTGAGTAAAACTGCTATCAAACTATATTTATCACTAGATTTACGGATCAGAGCCAATTTGACTCAATAAAAATTTGATGACTATATACATTGATACATACAAGAATGGCGATGTCACTTGATCAAGTGGTGGAAAATGTTTATTTAGATTTTTTGATAGTGAACATTTCATTTAAATTACCATAGATCTATTTTTTTTTTCAAAAAAATCAATTTTTTATGAGCCAAATAGGCTCACTTCAGCAAAAAGTGGTATATAAGCAGCATCTGTAAATCTTATGTCTTATACATGTACTTCAGCACAGACTTTTAATAAATTAGCCCAACAATATAATAGAAAGCAGTAATTGAGCATTCATTTTACCTTATATAAATTAAAACATATTTATTATATTTCACTAGAACTTTTGTAAATATTTCGAAGCAATATTTAATTTTGTACTAAAAATATTTTTTTAATGCGATCAAAATTTCTAAAAAATATCTAAATCTAAATTTAATTTACAACTATGTCAATCTTATAACTAGTCGATTCTTTACTAACTTCTGCTAAAATCACCCAAATGCATTTAGAATTCATTTCTTTTACCTTTGACTACCCCGAACTTATAGGAACGTGCATAGGTCTTCGGGCAACCAATGTTAAATCCAAAGGAGCAGCTTTGAAAGGCGCTTCCGTAATTAGCAGTTTTTTGGCCGAGTTGATAAATCGATAGGTTCTTCCTGTTCCGGACAAGGTGTCGCAGGAAGAGCTATAGGAATTGCTAGGCCGGAAAGAATACTTTCGGATTTAATTCTTGTGGCACTTATGATGGAACTGTCGTCTCGCTCGTCTTCTCTTCGGGTCGCCGGAGGACTTCCAAGAATTACTTGGAGAACTGGACGTTCGCGCCGGCGTGAGGGCATCCTGGGCCAAATACAAATATAATTGTAAATGATAAACTGATCAATGCAAATCCTTATCGAGTTTCCTCAAATGACTTATCAATTTTTGAAATCGGTGCAGAAGTTTTGAGAAAACGTCGACGTTAAAATTTTTGCTTCACCTATCCGATCGGCAAAACTATCATTGCGAGTCCTTATTGAATTTCCTCAAATAGCTTTTGATTTTTTTAAAATCGGTACAGCCGTTTTGTGAAAACGTTGATGGTAAATTTTGGCTTCACACATCCGAACGTCATACAAAGCTAAATCATTGGGAGTTTCTATCGAGATTTTAATTTTTTTTAAAATCAGTACAGCCGTTTTTAAGAAAATGTTGACATTAAATTTTGACTTCATATATGGTTTTACCAATTTTTACGTCAAAGACTACATTTTTTGATGCAAAGTTTCAAAGTCTCTACACAACTATGAGTATTAAAACGATTAGGATGGTACTAAGTAAGTGCGGATTTTTTGTTAGAATAGAGATGATAACTATTCCATATGTATTCTGCATTTTGATCAATGACTTTAGTCAATTTTCGAGCAGCATTGGTATCCAACTTTTATGGATTTTTTGTTTTTTTATTAGCAGAAAACTGAATCAGGTACAATTTGACATCATCATAATCAATGAATTGTTTAACATTCAAGGAGTTTTGTAAATATCTAAACTGAAACTACATTATTTTTGGATGGTGAAAAATCAGGACTATACAATGAATGTGGCAAAAACATCCCAATCAACCTCTAATCACGTAAAAGTCATCGTTTTAATTTGTTAATTTTGCATCAATTTTCTTTGAATTCATTATTTAAATTTGTTAGTTGTCCAATGTAGATATCAGAATTTTGATTGTTGGATTAAGTGATAAGAGTAAAGTAGACAATTTCTTTGTGATAAACTGGACAACCAGCATTTTCCATCTCTATGTGCAAAATCACCAGAACTCAATTTAGCAGACCAATTTTGACACTGTTTTTGACAGCTTTGTCATCATAAACAGCTCATAACTTTTTGTGAGTTGTACATGCCATTCTACCTAAGCAGACATAAAAAAGCAGAATATGACAAAGTGTTCTAGCTAGATTTTGCATTTGTTTCAATGAACGTCAAACGAAAACTGCGCAATTGATAAAAAAACACTTTGACACCGAAATTGCCTGCTTAAAAATTAATTGAATTCATTAACAAAATATATTTTTATTTGGATTTTATCAGCAAATTCAAAATTTCAATAGAATCCATCTAAGTTGAAAACCGCACTTACTTAGTTGCCGCACTTACTTAGTTTGCCACCTTAAAATTAATATTTTAGAAATCATAATTGTAATGGATTTTATTCAAATTGATAAGATGTATCATATGTGTTATAAGAGTAAAATAACTTTTACAAATCTTTGGAGACTATTATTAATTGTGTCAAATGTATTTTTCGAAAACTTGATGCAAAAATATATAAGAATAATAAACAAAACATCAAAACATCATAATAGTATATAAACATAGCCGAAAATATATAAGAATATTCGTCAAAACATCAAAACCCGATATCGGATATCATCATACCCGGACGCCCAATTAGTGAATTGGCATCCCATTGAGACATTCAAAGATGTGCCCAAAAATTTGCTGATGCTTCATAGTGAAATAGGTACAAATATATAAAAACAGAAAAAAGAGAACATTTACGCACATGGGTTTATTATCATTAAAATTTGTTTAAAACTCCTACTTAACGAGTATCATGATCTATATGAAAATAACAGAATTCTTTTCGTATTTCAATTTACCTGCTTAGCACAAAGTCCTAAAAAATGCGAAGTTGGTATAAATGCTCCTCCATTCGTAAACATTTGATGCTGCCCAAATCCATTCCTCAATCCATCACCATTCAGAAGCGGGCTACCTATTTGCCTATCGTGCGTCGCCATCTGATTACTTTGTTGAGTATCATTATTATTATTAATATTCCTGTTATTGTGACTATTGACTTGTTGCTGTTGGTTTTGCTGATGTTGCTGCTGTTGTTCTTGCAGCAGACAGTGTATCTTAAACCAATTGCTTCTTCTGCCGTAGCGGGAGCCGCTTTTGGACATTCCTACTAAGAGACATTTGCGAAGGCGGCACGCCTTGCACGCGGTGCGGTTTTTCTTGTTGATCACGCACTCGCCGTTGTTCTTGCATTCGGAGATCGAAGACAGGTTGTTGTAGGTTCGGCCGAAAAAACTCTGGAAGCAAAAAAAAAATTATTGATGTAGTAAAATAATAAAATTTATACTAACTTTTAGTAAAATTTGGAGATATAATACGAATGTTGATCAATTTTTGTACAAATATCGCAGACTCAGCAAACGTTGTTTTGCCTTGACAAATATTTCTAGAAAATTTTAGTATAAAAAATAAATACTTTATTATGAATGTTGAAGTATGTGGTAAATAAGTGAAAGAAGCAGCTAACACAAACTATCCAAATGGTTTACCCAAGAATCAGCTTAATCTGAAACTTATTTAATTTAAATTGAATTGGCGCATTTGGAGATTCAAGAATTTGATATATTTTCACCGCGCTTTTCATTAATTCATTAATTGTTAAATTACGAAGCAAAATCCGATATTCATTGGGTGAGATTTAAAAAAAAACTGTGAAAAAATTTACGGCTTTGGTATATATTTGTCTGATACTTTGGGACTGATTCTGCTGCATAACACAAAAATGTTATGGCAAGGCCATGTTACGCTCCAACTTCCATACATTATGCTAATGAATCATACGGAATACTGTCAAAATGTCATATATTTGCTGTGCATTCAAGCGTTTTACACATAAACTGCAACCGCCAATCGTATGTTATGTAGCTGTGTCAAAAAGACCATGTTATCTAAGATCGTTCTTTTGACGTTTGTGCGGCATCATATCTGACAACCTGAAAAATATGCCTGACTGCAAAGCAACCACATGGTTATTTCAATATTTAGTATGGAAATTTCTTCAAAACATAGCCTTGCCATAACATTGGTCTGTTAAGCGGCAGAATCGCTTCAATTGTTTCTTCTCAGAAACGGTTGTTTCTACAGGTTTTAATATTCATTTTTTTTGCTAAAGTTGCTCCTTCTGCAAACCATTTATGAACTAGGAACTGGTGTGACCATTAGGATATAATGATTAGGAATATCATTTATCTTTGTTATGAATAGGATAATCTTGCAATTATGTAAAAATGGGTCGATAATTTGATCTTTCTCTTTATATCGATGGTAATCTTTTTCATCGCCAAAATCTAAGAATTGTTTTGAAAATGTTTCAGCGAATAGAGCGAATTTTAAGCTCAGAAAACTTTTGATCTAATTTCGGTGACAGGTACACAAAAAATAAATTGATCTGCTATCAAGTTAGATGAAAAATGATTGGACTAGTAAAATGACTATTATAAAATTTAAATTTATGATAGAAAGGTGAAAATTTAGGGTCGTAAGTGTTTTCTAATTACGAATTATAAAAAAATAAAAAATAAATTAATAATAAATAATAAAAAGCTTAAAAATAGCCAGCCTTTACTACTTAGGGGTATGAAAAGTAGATGTTGGCCGATTATAAAATTATATCAGAATTGGATTTTTAGTCAAAACCGATTTTAACATTTGTGAATGTTGTCTAAATCTCACTTCTTGTTGATTAAGTTAATGTTTTACACGTGTCAGGATATTCATACAACTTGTTTCTAAACAAAATTTCATTAACTGTTGTAAAGTAATGATGCTAAAATTGATTGTTAATATAACTTTTTTAACAAATTATAAGTTTGTTCTGCGATCTTTTAAGTAGGTATCATGGTTGTTTTTTGCTTTTTCTAAGAACATCACCATTATTTTAAGTTCTCCTCGTATTCATTAACTCTACCAATATGTGAAACGGCAAGATCGCTATGTCAGTTTACAAAAACTCATCATCTACCAGACCAATGTTTAGTTCTTTAAATTATAAACATCACATATCCTTCATACGAAGTCTACAGCAAACGTCTTATTACCTATTCTATTTGAGATCTTAAAGAACACGACCGACGTGCGAGTGAACTTCACGTTTGGTGCCAATCAAAACAGATTCTTCCAGAAATAAAATAATAGTATTTTCCCTTTATCGCGATAGATATTTTACCGTTTGTTTCCTCTCAGATTCACACGTTGCTTGTTTTTACAATATGTAATTTCACAGTTCTTCGAATCAAGAAGAATTGACTCAAAATACCCATCGTTGAGGAGAATAAGTGATGGAATAATTAGGTTTAGTTAAGGAATTGGAAAAATGAACATGGTATTTAAGATATTCTCAGAAAGGCAACTAAGCTCGTTGAAAATAATACAGAATCTTTGCAGATTATTGCTGATTAATGATGTCTCAGAAGTAGAACTTTAGGTTTACTCATCTGGTTAAATTTGTATCTATTTGTTTGAACTTGTTAATGTTCAATTGATTGAAATATTTTTTATGATTAAGTTATTAAAACTTAAATAAATTCGAACATTAAAATTCTTTATAAATATTTTCTTTCAATTATATTGATCGCCGATTTTTATTCCACAGTACAAAGCGATCAATTTCTTTCGTCCGTTCAATTTTACTTTTCATTTTTTGATAATATATCATTGACTCGTATAAACGAGCGCAAACGTAATTGAAAATTGCGCTGTTGCCCGATTATTAATGGAGAAATTTTTATTTCTGTCATACTAACATATGTCATTTGGATTGTTTGGAAGATTCGGTAACGTTTGCAAAAAATGTTAATTTATTTACGAACATATGAATGAGAATTGAATTCGGAATTGCTCCATCGCTGGGAAAGAACGCGGCATGGTAAACAAATTTATACTTTCAGATTGTTTTGTTTATATTTTGTGAAGTTGTGCATGGATTTTTTGTCATTATTTTTTATATAATATGAAAACAATTAAATATCAATATTTTATCAAAAGTATATTTTATTCCATACTGCTTGATATCGAGCTGGGCAAGGTTGGGATCTAACCCAGTATTTGTTTATGCTAGTGTCTTGGAAAAATAATTTCAAAATTTAAAATTTCATTATATATAAAATAGTTTTGACGTATATATGCTACAGCAATGCCCACGAAATGCGATTTACTTCTGATTGTGTTTGAAATCTATAACCTTAAGTGAACATTTTATTTCGTACTGCTTGATATCGAGCTAGGCTAGGTTCGGATCTAATCCAGTACTAGTTCATGCTAGTGTCTTGGAAAAATAGTTTAAAAAAAGTTAAAATTTTATTATATATAATAGTTTGACATGTATATGCTGCAGCAATTCCCACAAAGGGCGATTTACTTTAGATTGCATTTATAATCTATAACCTCAAGCGAACATTTTATTTCATACTGCTTGATATCAAGCTGGGCGAGGTGGGGATCTATGAATTATTTGTCCTGCCTTTCTTAAAAACTTCCTTTCTTAAATTGTTGGACCTCCCTTCCAAAAAATGTAGTCGGTTATTGATTCCACTAATACAAGTAAAATGTTTTTTGAATAATTCTAATCGGATGCTTTGTTCTCTCAAAAACTGAATTGCTATTTTTGCTCCGTATCTACGAATCAGTTGGTCCTGCCTTTCTCAAAAACTAATAGCTCTATAATAGGAATCGTTGAACCTCCCTTCCAAAAATGCAGTCGGTTTTTCATTCCGCCAATGCTAATAAAATGTTTTTTGAATCATTCTAATCAGATGCTCCATTCTCTCAGAAACTGAATTGCTACTTTGTTCGGTATCTCTGAATCGGTTGGTCCTGCTTTTTTCAAAAACTTACAAGCTCTATAATAGGAATCGTTGGACCTTCTTCCCAAACATGTAGTCGGTTGTTCATTCCATCAATACAAGTAAAATGTTTTTTGAATCATTCTAATTGGATGCTTTGTTCTCTCAGAAACTGAATTGCTATTTTTTCTCGGTATCTCCGAATCAGTTGGTCCTGCCTTTTACAAAAACTAACAAGCTCTGTAATAGGAATCGTTGGACCTTCTTTCCCAAAAATGTAGTCGGTTATTCATTCCACCAATACAAGTAAAATGTTTTTTGAATCATTCTAATCGGTTGCTTTCTTCGATCAAAAACTGAATTGCTATTTTTGCTCCGTATCTCCGAAATGGCTGGACATACTTTTGCCAAAAACTAGCTGGCACATCTTTCTATCAATAGGATTCGAATGATTTTTGAACCATTCAAATCGCATCCATTTATTCTAAGGTAAGCCAAAATGCTCAGAAACCTTTAAAATGTGAAGATATGCAACATTTTACAATTTCAATTTTTGGACGATTACCTTACATACATACACAAGCGCAAACATGGATACATTTTTAAGATATTAAAATGAAGCCGAATAAAAATTGTGAATGGATACCTTAATGAAAAAAAAAATGAAAGCAAAAGTTGCATTAATATTAGCTTGTGAAATAATTAAACCAGCCTCTCTGTTTGTAATATATCATTCCGAAATGTTTCAACGACACATTTTTAATAAAGCTGCTGTCATCCATATGAATTATCAGATCAGTGTAGATTGTAGCAGGTGATAATACGAATATAAATATACACATTTAAGATCCAAATAATACATGTATGTATATAAATGCACACATAAGACATTTTTAACTTACTTTTATGATGAGTGTTTTTAAGAAATTTTAATTATCCTAAGAGAAAGCTTGTTCAATTCTGTAAAACAAGCTCGATATGTCACCACCGAGTGATTTACGAGTGAACATGTATTGATAACAGTCACAAGCCATATGTTTGCTTAAATACGAAATACGTCAAAACAAAAAGTCAGGGAGAAGATTAATATTGAACACGATGAAAGGTGTAGACATCAGTGATTTTCGATAATAATTAAATCAAATATGAAGAAGATTTAAATAAAAAAAAGAGTGCGCGTAAGGTTCACACGCGAAGGAAGTAAAACTTTTTTTCTATTGTACAAGATGATATTTAAGTTAAAAATAAATACATCATATAACAATTTTGAATAATGTTTATTAGTAATATGGTAACACTCGTGATATGCACACATTTATTAATGTCAACCATTATACACATTTATATAATGATTAATTATGAATTATATATTTATAATAGCATTAAAAATATGTATAATATTTAAAAACAGTAATGTAATTAAAGTCATACTTCAAATATGACATGATCGGTTTGTC